TGGGGCCTTGCTCGCCCCGTTGATGCTGTAGAAAGTGGAGCATCCGCTCGTGTTTGGTGTGTGCATGCAAGGAGGTCAAGTAGAGAGAATACGGCTTCGGCACCCATTTCCCGTAGCACAAAAATAACTCCAAGTAACCCAGTTTCAGCTGAAGTTGCATATTACTCATCCTTCTCAATAAACTGTTGAAAGGGAGGAAGGTGCTTGTGTTCTGTGGGATTTTGTACAATCTCTGCTTCTGAGGCTTCTCTGAGTGTCCTGAACACTGTTAATGAGCAAGGGGGAGAGGGAAAGAGAAGAGGTGCTGCTGAGAACGGCGTTAAAAGGATTTGGCGAGGTGTCATGTGCTGCAGGTAATGCGCTCTAGCCCCATTATGTTTGCAGTCCTAACAGCTGAGGCCTTGGGGGCGGTGTAATAATCAGGTTTTAATGGGGGTAATTCTAAGAAGTTCAAACGTATGGTGGGTTTTCAGCCCTTTGGTATAGCCTTGTGTGCACGCAGTAGGAGAGAGGAGTTTATTATGACACTGAGCCTTCTAATGACTTTCATGAGACACTTTGATTACAGGTTGCTGGTGTGATTCTGCAGGTGGAAATCAGTAGTGTCAGCCCAAAGACGCAGGCGCGTCACGTTGGAAGTCAGCAGGGAGGAGAGGAGCGGTGGGACTTTATGTGAGCTCTGCGGTCACCTAGAGTACAGAAAACGTAACTTTTTGTTAGAGCTTGGAGGGCGATGGTGAAGCAAGAAATCGTGCCAATGTGATATATAACTACTGCGCTGCTAAAAGATTTGCCACTTTTTCTGATGCTAATGTCTTAAGATGTTGCGGATGTGTGTGCAGGAGGTGGGGGTGGTTAGTCGGTGCACCCCAGGTAAATCTTCTGTCAAAACGCTTACGTTAAGTTGTTTGATTAAACCTTGTCCTTTTAATGGCTCTCTAAAGGGATATTTCTTGAAGAATGCAAAAGGCAAACACTTGCAGGAAAATAAATATAGGTTAAATTGGATATGGACTGATTTCACATTTAGTTTGCTTCTACAGAATCTCTAATGTGTGCAGCTCTATCATTTTGTGAGATTAGTTTTAATTTGGAACAGTATGAAGAACATCAGATAAATCCCAATCCAGTAAACATGTTTAGACTTGACAAGAAAGCAAATTATGAGTCAAGAAGGAAAGTTCATTCTTGGCATGTCTAGAGAGCCTCTGGGACCGCAGCTCCTCGTGCAAGTAGCTCCCCACGCTCCGCGTTCGTAACGTGCAGGCGAAGAGCCCGATTAGCATCCGTGGGTGGCAGTACGAGCGACTGAACCCCAAAAACAGCGCAGACAGAATCGAGGTTGCAGAGGGAGAGACGCTTTCTAGGGACGTTATCCTGCAAACTCTGCACTGGCAAAGGGAGCCTTGAACCGGCTCCGTCAGGTGAGCCGGAGCGTTTGGACACCTCTCCGAGGGGAAGAGAGCTCCCAGCACAGCGGAGAGCCCAGCGGCGATAGAGCGTGAGAGCCAAGCCGTCCACGTCTTTATGTTTCGTTACTTTTTTTAATTGTTATTTATTGACTGCCTGCGCTCTGCCACACAGTGCAGAGTGGTAGTTTCCTTTGATGCCTTAGTGTAAAAGCCTGCCTCTGAAATGTGCGTGTAAAGAGGAATAGTGACGTATTTATCAACAAGGAGAACAGCCAGAGAGAAGCGGTGCTACATATTAGCAAAACGTTAGTGAATATACCTCTGTTTCAGATAGCCAGCTCTCATACCAAGCGTGTACATCTGGCGGTGAAGCACTTCTGTAGCAGCAGATGAACAACTGTGTCGTTTTTTCAAAAGATAACAACTGCCAGCATAAATTTTCTGCTGGGAGTGAACTGGGGAGTCAATGTTTTGTTTTGTTTTTTTTACCAGAAGGCAACTCCACCTTTCTAGAAACTTGCGGGAGATGTGAAAGCTTCAGGCCGTTCAGGCAGCTAACCTTCTCATGTTCTTCATCCGTACGTGAAAGCGGGTGGGCAGCTGATGGCATCGGCCCCTGACGTGGCTCCCCGCAGGTCTCCGTTCCAGGCAGATGAGGAAGAGGAGTGGTTGTGAGAGTAAGGCTTTCTGTTTACTGGCCTCCAGCGTGACCGGAAGCTGCTCTGACAGCTCGCGCCATCTGGTTCCCAGCTGACAAAAAGCCACGTTTGAATTTTCTGCTCTAACTTTCGGCCTCCAAGCCGAGGGTTGCAGAGCTGTGAAAGCTGAAAGGTATTTTTTGGAAAGACGCCACAAAGCTAACACAGAAATATGAACTGCAACGGTGCCATTGACTTTGATAAGAGCTTGGTGGATGTTGAGTGATACTGAGAAAACGTGAGCCCATTTCTGCTCGTAAATCTGGTCTGATTTGTATCCACCATCCATCTGCCATTTCTTCTGATTTTTCTAGGTAAACAGAAGTATCTTTGTGCCAGCCGGAACGACTGCACCATTGACAAATTCAGAAGGAAAAACTGCCCTTTCTGTCGCCTACGAAAATGCTACGAAGCAGGAAT